TTGCAGATGTCAGGTCTTCTTCCACATCGACGTCTTCGTCCGGCTCCTCGCGTGGCCAGCGCCCACCTAAGCTGCCTCGAGGACGTCACTTCTGGGTACTCCCGGGGGGCGATCGAGAGTGCACGGGCCCTGGCGACGGTGTTTGCACCATGGCCGCGGACGGATCTGGCCGTCCGGGCATGGCAGACGAGACGGGCCTGTGCGTCTTTTGCAGTCCCGAGCGTCTCAGAGAGGTACTCGCCATCCGCGACGGACGGCTTTTGACCCGTGCCTTGTCGCAATTGCGGGAGCCGCACCTCAGTCTGGCTCTGCAAAAGGTGGAGGCACAAACGGACAAGGAAACCGTCGCCAAGTGGCGACTTCGAGTGGAGCGAAGCCAATGGCGCCAGAATCCGGCTCGAGCCCGCCGCGGACCCCGAGGCAAATACGGCAAGAATAAAGCCTCGCGAAAGCGAGCATCCAGATCTGAAAGGAAAGCACGTCGCGCTCGCAAGCGACCTGCTGCTGCGGAAGCCTGGGGGGTGTGCAATTCTGCCGATCGTCCTGCCGGAAGGGACGGGACTTCGGACGATCGCATCGAGGAGGCTTCCTGAGCTGGGCTGCGCTCGGTCTGCTAGTATCCTCGGTGCGGGCATGCCCCCGAGACGGATGGTAGCCGGTGAGCCACGTCCATACCTAGCACTACGCCTGTGGGAAAGTCTGCACTTGTGGTGATGTCAGCTTGCGGCAGCTAATATCCTGTGGGCAAGCTGGTGCATGTGGCGCATGGGTATGCACTTGTTGTCTTGTCAGCTTGCGATAGCAAATATCCTGTTAGATCCTGTTGCATCGTCATCTGATTCTGGATTCAGTCGGGACTCCGTCTCGGGAACCGGGCCAACGGTTTCCGGATTGCTCGGCTGCGCTGCGCAGCAACCTCGGGTGGTCTGGCGGCAGACAGGAGATCTTCGCTTGCGGGCATGCACGTGATGTTTCGCGGTGCGTTGATGTTCGGCTGACTTATCGGGAGAGGACGGTTGTTGTGGCATCCACGTGCCCCGGTAGGCCATGGCCGAACGAAGCTGCATCGTTCTGACGTCCGAGGAGCGGCAGAATCTGCTCCAGGCCGCCGTCACTCCGCATCTCGACTTCAGCTGGTCCGCATGGCATGCAGGCACTGGTCGAGGTGCACGCACGAGAAGGCCGTGCGGACTCCCGCCTTGCGCGAAGGATCGCTAGCCTCAGGCCTGCCGCCCGCACGCCCACTAGCAGTCACTAGCCATCGAACCCGTTTCATTGCAGGAACCTTGAGGTCACCGGCGAGGGGGAGGTCAGTGACTCAGGCGCATATTTCAATTGCGCGCCGACATCTTTTGCTAGGACGGCGATTCTTCCATGACGACGGCTCCTTCAGAGTCCGGGCGCTGGCCTCTGTACTTGCTGCCAGTGTGCCGTCTTGCGTGCATGAAGTCCTGACTCGGTGTTAGGTGCCCCGGGAGGCGTCGTACCTGCTGTCTTGTGAAACCCTTCAGATCCTGAATGGGTTCAGAGAAACCCTTCGGATCCTGAAGGGTTCAAGGAAACCCTTCAGATCTTGAAGGGTTCAAGGAAACCCTTCGGATCCTGAAGGGTTCAGGGAAACCCTTCAGAGCCTGAATGGGTTCAGGGAAACCCTTCAGATCCTGAAGGGTTCAAGGAAACCCTTCAGATCCTGAAGGGTCCAAGGAAGCCCTTCAGATCCTGAATCCACGCCATAACCTGCAGGCGTTCGAACAAGCGCACGCGCGATCCCGACGACCCAGGGTGCAGTCCTCGTGGTGCCTTGATATTTTCTGAGCCACCGAGTCCGGCGCCAGGACAGCCGACTGTACGTCTTCCGAGGACGAGCAGGTCCGGGTGCGGTTGTGCCTCGGATGCGTCCTGCAGCCGTTTGCGTGTTCGCTAGGTCGATGCGATTTCCGTGCGCACCTTGGAAGCGACCCTTATGGCGACTTGTTTTGACGCGGTATATGCAGGTTTTCAGCTCGATTGCGCATCGCGCGTTTTATCCTAACCTTAATTTGTTTTAACGCGGCATCGCTTCAGCTCGATCGCACATCGCTTCCGCCAGGTTTTGCCAGCATGTCTGTACAAACCTCGAACCTTGTTTCAACGCGGAAAGTTCCTGCAACGGGAGGCTACTTCTGCTTCCGCGGACAACCCGCCGGCTGCTCGCGTGCTTGGAATGACTCCGACGCGATCAGCCGCCAACTGCTCCAAGGTTCGTGGATGCCGGAACATCCGCGACCCCGGACGAGCTCGAACGGCGAGGGTTTCGAGGACCGCCTGCTATGGATGACGGTGAGGTGCTGGAGGTGCCGCCGGACGGCGACTGTCTGTTTCATTGTGCCGTCACGTGTCGGGATGTGGCTCGTCTTCGAGGTTCCCTGCAGGACGAGCGTGGCTTCATGCTGGAGACTCGCGGTGAGGCCAACTTGAAGGAGGCGTCGCGCCGACTGCGAAGGATCTGCATCGAAGCAGCCACGACGGCGGGTCGCCGGGATGTCGTCAGCATGCTTGCATCGTCCCGTCTGCCGGAGGGAGGGCCCAGTGGTTGGAAGGGAGCATTTGGGTCTCCCTCGAAGGAGTGTCTGCGGAGTTCGATGTACTGATCGGAGCGGGCCCCATTGCCTGCAGGCTCTTGCTCTCCTATGTCGAGGACTCGGGTGGGCAGGCTTCCCCGCACTATCGGCTCGCAGGAAGCTGGGTGCCTCAGCGGTGCGGGGATGTACCGAATCAAGACGGCAGCACAGGAGGTACTTGATGCACGAGGGTGGATGCAGTCGCCGTCCAATTGCAGACGATCTCGGTGCGGGCACGCCCCCGAGCTGCTTTCCGGGTAAAAAGGCGGTGTTGCAGTTGCATCGTTGGTCCGCCAGGGTCGCAGTGCGTTGGCTTGAGTTTGCTCGTTTCGGATGCGACGTTGTGCTACGCTAGATATGTCGACTTTGGAGGGTTATCACTTGTCGCAACAAGCTGCTCCTTGTAGTTTAAGCGGCCGTCCTTGGACCGCATCCGTCCGAGCACGCATGGAGGCGGATTCTTGGCGGCCCGGCTGCAGTATTCCGTCGCGTGGTCGCAGATCTGCAACCGATTTGGCCGCATGACTGTCACGAGTAAGTTTAGATTTCGGCCTTGGCTTTGCGGTGCCGGCCCGCGTGATTGCTAGCAGCAGCATTTTGTAGGTAGTGCGAGTCTGCTCGGGGTTGCGCCATGCTTGCTATAGCTCCGCAGGGGGGTGCCTGCGGAGGGAATGGACGGACTGCACTTGCCTCGGAGAGAGATGTTGCGTGTCGTGTCTGCTGGTGTATACAGCGCGGTGACTTAGGACAGACGCAGCTGCCGTGCCGGCAGACGATCGATCGAGGGGATGCGGCGGGCCGAGTACGCCAGCTCAAAGCTTGCAGGCGGATTCCGTGATGGACTCCTCCCTCGAGGCAAGGCTTCTCGGGAGGGCCTCGTTCCATAGGCACGGGTTCTCGCTTCAGGCCGGACAGACGGAGGTAACGGCTCAGCTCTTCTTGCAGTCCCTACACAAGAAGCGGAAGTTTGCGGAGAGCCTCGAACAAATCGAATCTCTCTTGGGTCCCGACGAGTTCGTGCATCAGATGAAGAGGCTTTGCATCGCAACTGGCGAGGCAGTGGATACGGTGGTATTCCAGGAGGAGGAACAGGAAGCACACGATGTCACTGTCGCAGACCCTGACGCGCCCGATTGGGCGTTGTCCGTCAGGCCGGAGTGGTGCGACAGGATCTTCAACCACGGAAAGACGTGGGAGATCCGTGGCGAGCACTGTCGCAAACATCTTGGCGAGCGCGTGGCCATCGCACAAGCGGGTTCTGGACATTTGGTTGGAACCGTGCGCATCGCAGAATCGCGCAAGGTGTCTATGGAGGAGCTACGAGAGACGGTGCCACTGCACCATGTAACGGACCTGTCTCGAGTGAGCTACAAGCAGCCCCACGTTTGGGTGCTGCAAGATGTGAGCGCGTATGCTCGCCCGGTGCCGTACGTTCATCCGACGGGCTGCGTTAAGTGGATCCCGCTCGCAGGGCCGCGACAGGGCAAAGGTCCGGTGCCGGGACGGTCGCGGCGTCGGCCGCAGCGGCATGGCCCGCCGCCCGCGGCTTCCGCACCGACATGGGACACGCTCTTGGAACGTCGTCAAAGCAGCATGTCGTATTCCTCCGTACAGCAGGATCAGTATGCACAGGCGCAGCAAAAACAGGCGGCCCGCCTTTGCAGGAAGTTTCCAGCAGTGTATGATGACTCTGCTAAGGATGATCACTGGCTATCGCCACGGGCTCGAGCGTTCCGGCACTGGTGTCTGTACGGATCCTGCAAGATGTGCAGCGTCTGCGGTCGCACCGTCCCGCAGCCCTACAAGGCGGCTGTTGCACTGAAGTTGGATCGCGGCGGATGCCTGCAAAGCTGCGACTATTGTCGCACGGAGGGTCAGCAAGGTTATGCTGCCCCGAGTACGTCCGAGGTGCCTCGCCGCCTTAGACGCTTGCGACCGGAAGTGATCGAAGCTCTCAGGCCTTTTCGAGTGCATGCCGGACCGGAGCACCGTGCTAAGGACGGGTACGCTGTTCACACCGACATGATGAGATTTTCTTTCAAGAGTACGACCGTGGAGGCCGCACTGGCAGCGCTGCCGCCGCCACACCGCAAGCGAGGGGAGAAGGCCCTGCTTTATTTGTTGGATGCCTCTGACAGCAGCTATGGCAAGTTCTGGCGTTTGCATCATCTCTTCCTCGCCAGCCGGGGCCGGCAGATGGCCCGAGGCGATCTGGAGCGCGATGCGCCGATCAAGCGTCTGCCCATCAACTTCCTGGAAACCGTTGGCCTGGAATGCGCGCTGTGGCCGCACCTCTACTGGCGCACAGACATGACGGAGACCTACGTCCGCCACACGGACGCACGCCGCGCTCGGAAGCGGCCGCGGCATCCGGCTTGGGAGAACGACGAGGATGGGGAGATGGAGGATGCCGATGGTGGCCGACGTCACAGCGCGAAAGCCAGCTTCTTGGCAAAAGTGCGCTCGAGCGTACTGGGCTACGGAACCGATGGACTTTTGCTGCAGTTCGTCTACGACCTCTGGCTCTTCACAACCATCGGCGGCGCGCGACATTCCACCAGCGGCACCGTGAGGGAGGCACTGGCCTCGAAGCCTTACTCGCCGGAACTCTGGCGACATTACCATGCGGCTCTGGTGGATGTGCAGAGACAGCTCGGCTTGCCGCAGGTCTTCATCACCATCGCACCGTATGAGTGGAGCTTTCCGTATCACGTGTGCCTAGAGGACGAGCTGCGGAAGTGTTTGTGCGAAAGGCTGTTTGCACCGACGGCGGAAACGCTGCATCTCGCACACGTGCTCAGCCAGGCCGTGAAAGGACTGCTTACCGGAGCCAACGAGGGTGCCAAGGGCAGACAAGACAGTCACGTCTTTGCAGCCTGCGATTCGGCTGGCGTGCGAGCGTGGGTGGCTCGCCTGGAATTTCAAGATGGCAAGCGGCAGCGACATCAGTACCGTGAGCCGCAGGCCTATCACGGACGCGGGGCGGTCCACGTGCACATCCTGCTGTGGCTCAAGGACATGGAGCAAATGGACCTGGCCACACAGATCAGGGCCGACATACCGGGCGAGGGAGAGCCGCAGCTTCGAGACCTCGTGCTGGGCTCGCAATTGGACTGGAGCTCCAGCGGATGGCCGCTCAGAGAAGAGTCGACGCAAGTCTCTCCCAAGTACGGCTTGCTGGAGCTTCGGCATCCGAAGGATGCCTACGATGCACACTGCTGCGCGTACATGCCCGATGTCCTGTCTGCGTTGCGGTGTCACGTGGACGTCAGAGCTTCCGATGGTCGCACCCTGATCCTGAAATATTGCGCCAGCCGCTTGATAGCAGATAGTTGAGTTCGCGGGATGTAGGCAGTATAGCGTGTCTATGTGCTTGACAGCAGATAGTTGAGTCTGCGGGATGTAGGCAGTACAGCATGTCTACGTCGAAACCGTCTGTGAGCCGTTCGTCGCTTGAGGTTATTTGCCGAAGTTCTCCAGTTCGTTTGCGCAGGAGATGCTCAACGATCAAGCCACCGGATTCGCCCTCGCGAGACGCATCCTGGCGGACTATCATCCCCTGCAGCCGGAGATGGTCCTCCAGCTGGCAGCGCAGCAGCTTCCGCAGTTTCTGAGCTCGGCAGTCGTGCGCAAGTTTTGCGTGCCGGTACCCTGGCGGCAGGACGCCCCCAAGTGGGTGCGGGACTACATGGCTTGCGGGTGGCGCCGACGCAGCACCTCCCTGCTTCAGTATCTGCGTCTAGCCGGCTCAAATGGACAGATAGCTCAGTGCTATCGTCGGTATCACAGCGTGAACAAGCTGGAAACGCCGCTGGTGGACTGGATCCGGACCTGTCCGAATCTGGGGAAAATAGCCGTGGCCTGTACCATGTATTCCTACGGCAACGATGCCTATTTCGGACAGTGGCTTCTCTTGCACGTGCCCTTCAATGCAGTGGACGATTTATGGGACGAGCGAGCCGCCTCGCTGCCCCGCGAACTGCGCTATCTCGGCCTGTGTCTCTTGCATCGCCCAGATTTCTGGAGGGATCTTCGTAACCTCGCCGAGCAAATGGAGTCGGAAGCTCGCACTTTCATCTACAGCCAAAACGTGCTGGCGCTCGTGCGCGCGCGCATCGAGCTCGTGGATGCATACCTGTCTGGTGAATTGCAGCTGTCCACGGATGCCAGGACTAAGCCGGAGGCCACGACCCAGATAGACCGCACCGACTTCGCGCCAGACCAGGGCCTTGCCTACATGACGGTGATGCGCAAAGTCATGCAGGCAGTGGAACATCGATGGCCCGAGGACGGCGACGAACGTTCCTGGGGCGCATGGGTCACAGCGACGAGAGAAGGGGTCGTGGAGAGACCCACGGCCGTGCTCGGTCCGGCAGGAAGCGGAAAGAGCACTGCTGTCCAGGCTGCCGTTCGTGAGGCCGTGCGAGCGAGCGCTCGTGTCGGTGTGGCCTGTCCCACCGGGTTGCTTGCCACCCGCTACAAGGTCGATAACCCGGAATTGGACGTGGACACCGTGCACGGCATGTTCGCGCTGCACAAGGCCGAGCAAAGCACGCTGGAAATGATGGTCGCCTACGACCTCATCGTCATAGACGAAATCGGACAGGTGCCCCTCTGGATCTTCGAACGCATTCTGCGTCTTTGGGACGCGGCAGATCGGCGACCTGCACTCGTGTTTGTTGGCGACTTCTGCCAGCTCCGGGGCCCGGATGGCACCTTCGCGACACAGAGCGCACGATGGTCCGAGGTGACGGTGCTTCGTCTGCACTCCATGCGTCGCTGCAAGTGTGCTTCGCTTCGATGGAAGCTGGAACTGCTGCGGGGGTACACGCCTACCCAGCCTCAGCTGAGAAAAATTCTGGCACGACATCGTGCATATGCCTCCAATGGCCCGCCGTCGGCGGAAGCCATCCAGAAAGTTTTGGGCAAGAGGCCCTCCACGCAGTTCGTCACCATCACTCGACGAGGTTCTGCACACATCAACGCCTTGGTCGTGAGAGTCCTCTTCCGAGATCAAGAGCCACTTGGAGTGATTGCGACCGATCCCGAGGACAATCCTGCCAACTTTCGTGGCACTGCCCGAGTCGGCGCCGAGCCCTTGAAGATGCCAATCTTCGAAGGAATGCGAGTGACGCTTACCAAGAATGAGGACAAGCAGCAGGGCTTCGTCAATGGCATGGGCGGACGGATTAGGCGTCTGCGCACCAGCGGTGTGGAGGTCGTCCTCGACAACGGCAACATCACCCTGGTGCATCCGACGACTCAAGACTACGAGCTGGCGACGGGAGACTTCTGCAGGACTACTGCCCTGCCATTGCGCCCGGGCTACAGTACGACGCTCCACAAAATTCAAGGTGCCACCCTGGGTCGCATCACCATCTGGCTAGATGTTCCCTTTGTACGAGGGGCTGCCTACGTGGCCTTGTCCCGGGTGCGGAAAGATGCGGACTGGCAGTTCCTGGGCACCATCTCCAGACGCGAATGTCTGCCCGCGGAGTGTCCCTAGAAACAGTTGGGTACAGTGCATCGTCCCTGAGAGCCGCAATTCGCACAGAGTGCAAGCCCAGGGCAGCAGCAGGTTCACAGTCGCGGTCGATGCAATCAGAAATGCTGCGTTGCCGCGACCTCTCTGCATCCAACTGTGGCTTGTGCAGACACAGGTTTTGAGCGTCATGTCGTGTGCTGGCTCGCCGCATACTGTCGAGTGTGCCTGAAGCCGCATAACTGTTCGAAGTCCTATCTTGCCCTTCTCGGACTTCTAGCCAGAACGGTCATGAGACCCTTAGACCTCGCTGCCATGTCGTCTCTCCAGCGACGATATACCTGGCATCAAGGACCGCCTGTTATTGTTCGCGCTAAGAGCATCATTCGCCCCCAACTACTACTTTACTAAATGTGTCGCCCGATTCGCTCGCCCCATAGACTACTTTACTAAATGTGTCGCCCGATTCGCTCGCCCCATAGACTACTTTACTAAATGTGTCGCCTGCTTCGCCCGCCCCCAAAACTACTTTGCTAAGTATGTCGCCCGCCTCGCCCGCCAAAAAAGCTACTTTACTAAATGTGTCGCCCGCTTGTCCGCCCCCAAAACTACTTTACTAAATGTGTCGCCCACTTCGCCCGCCCCAACAGCTACTTTACTAAGCGTGTCGCCCGCCTCGGCCTAGCTTGTGTGTACCAGGACTAGCATCTCTTGCACATGAAGAGCAGCTGGCCGTCGCGATGCAGCACTCTTTCTCGCTCCTCACGCACGCCCACAGTCGGGCCGTCGAATCCGGAAGGGTCCTGCAGGTGCTGTCGCTGTTCGATATCTTCCGCGATGGTGGTCGCGGGGCGCTGGTGGACCTGATCGTGCCTCGGCTTAGCTGCCAGACTCGGAGAACTAAGATTGAAGCCTGCAAGCTGCCAGGCATCATTTCTGGTGGAGCCGTTGCTGTGTCGGACGAACATGCCGCCCGTCCTCCTGGAGCCCCCTCGAATGACAGCACCCCGGGGCTTGCCACATCCGATCCCAACTGCGAACGGCGAGCTCTTGCATGTCTGGTATGCTGCCGCTCGGCCGCAGCGGACGCCCACCTGCAGTGCCCTGCGCATGCTGACATGACCCGCAGGTTCAGACCGCGCGGCATCTCAATGTTCAACGCAGAAGCTTGATGTTAGAACTTTGGCGTCGAGTGGCCCAGCTGGAGAACAGAGAGGGTGCTCTCATGCGTCGACTCGGACTTTTATGAGCATGGAGGCGTCGCATGTGCATACACGAGTGCATGCAGTCTCGCGATGGGCGTGCTGTCGCTATGATCCATTCTTCTCGCAGGAAATGGCGTGGATCCACCGACCTGGACAGCTGTGGGCACGGGAATATGCCGAGCGCGCAAATGGCCTCGACTCCTTACTAGTATTAATAGTACTACTACTACTACTACTACTACTACTACTACTACTACGACTACTACTATTCTTGCTACTACTATACTACTACTACTACTACTACTACTACTACTACTACTACTACTACTACTACTACTACTACTACTACTACTACTACTACTACTACTACTACTACTACTACTACTACTACTACTATTACTAGTACTACTACTACTACTTCTAGTACTACTACTACTACTGCTACTACTGCTACTAGTTTCGGTGCTGCAACTACTACTACTACTACTACTACTACTGCTACTATTACTACTACTGCTAATCCTACTACTACTACTACTACTACTACTACTACTACTACTACTATACTACTAGTACTACTACTGATACTACTACGACTACTAATACTGCTACTGCTGCTAACACGAATACTATTGCTACTGATACTACCGATAATAATGCTACTACGACCTTGATATTACTATTACTCTTGCTACTACTACTAGGACTCGCACTACTGTCACCATTACTATACCTACCACCAATACTACAGAGCCTAGTGCTACAACCACTACTACTACTACTGCTACTACTACTACTGCTATTGCTAGTAGTACTACTACTACCCCTACTGATACGACCACCAGTACTACTACTGCCGCTACTCCAACTAATCCTACCACTACTACTGATACGACTACTAGTACTGCGAATACTACTAGTACTGTTGCTACTGCTACTAATACTACTACTACTACTACTACTACTACTACCACCACTATTAATACTGCTATTACTGCTACTACTACTACTACTACTACTGCATAGCACTACTACTACTACTACTACTACTACTACTAATACTGCTACTACTACTACTACTTCTTCTACTACAACTACCATTGGTGCTACTAATACTATGACTATTACTACTAGTGGTACTACTACGATGACTACTACTACTAGGACTACTACCTACTACTACTACTACTACTACTACTACTACTACTACTACTACTACTACTACTACTACTACTACTACTACTACTACTACTTCTAGTACTACTACTAGTGCTAGTACTACTACTAGTACTACTACTACTACTACTACTACTACTACTACTACTACTACTACTACTACTACTACTACTACTACGACTACTACTACTACTACTACTACTACTACTACTACTACTACTACTACTACTACTACTACTACTACTACTACTACTACTACTACTACTACTACTACTACTACTATTACTAGTAGTACTACTACTACTACTACTAATAATAATAGTAATACTGCTACTACTTATCGCTGTTGCCGGAGCTTGCGATCACCGCGGTACGCGCATCTCAGTCGCGATACTATCAACTCCGTGCTTTTCGAACTCCTTGGGCGTAGCGTCGACTCGAGCGCCGAACCCGCATATCACGGAGTACGTCGTGCCCGAAGTCTACTCGATCACAGTGCTTTAGTCGCGCCGAACTTCTTGGGCGTAGCGTTGACCCGCGCGCCGAACCCGCGCATGACGAAGTACGTCGTGACCGAAGTCTACTCAATCACAGTGCTTTGATGACGTTCGCATCCGTTGCGGGGCGATTGCGCAGTATTTTGGTTGATTTTCCTTCAAACGGTGCGGACTTTAGAGTTTCCGAGGCTTCCGCGTCACGCGGATCCCGCGCATCATTGAACCAACTCCTTCCGAAGTCCGCGCGAACCTCGCGCGCGAGCGATTTTAGTAGCGTTCGTGTTCGTCGCGAGGTGATTTCTCTAGTATTTTCGGTGTTTTCGCGTCAAACCATATAGACTTTTAGGTTTCTGAGGTCCCCGCGTGGCCTCGAGCCTGAACGCGCGCGAATTCGCGCTCCGAGAAAGTTTTTTGCGTAAGGGAGGCCCCAGGGCGGGTAGGAGCCGAAGCCTCACTTTCCTCCACAATATGATTTTCTTAGGGACGGGCCTAAGGCAAGCCGATGACGCACTACAAACTGCGGCAGAGGTAGCACTCCGGACCCAAAGACTGCGCGCAGTCTCCGGCCTGGACCGGGCCTCGCTGCAGGGAGGGCGGTCGGCCGGGTGTCCCTGCAGCACAGGTCTGGGCCCGGCCAGCCTTAGCCAGCATCATGCGCATCAGCTCGTTTATTCAGCCGCGGCGGCGAGCATCATGCGCATCAGCCGGTCCCGCGCCGCGCTCGCTTCCATCATGATACCCTATCATTTTTTTTCCGTAGATAGGCACCACCGTTAACGCGGGGGGCTGCGCCCCCCGCACCCCCCGCTTCTGGGGCTAGTAGTACTTCTACTACTCGTAGTAGTATGCTAATAGTGCTACTACTACTACTACTACTACTACTATTACTACTACTACTACTACTACTACTAGTACTGCTTCTACTGCTACTAGTATTACTACTACTACTAATATTTACTCCTACTACTACTACTACTACTAGCACTACTACAACTACTACTACTACTACTACTACTACTACTACTACGACTAGTACTACTACTAGTGCTAGTACTACTACTAGTGCTACTACTACTACTACTACTACTACTAGTACTAATAATTACTAGAACTACTACTACTAGTAATACTACTACTATTATTACTACTACTACTACTACCATTACTACTACTAGTACTACTACTAGTACTACTACTACTACTACTACTACTACTACTACTACTATTACTACTATTGCTATTATTACTACTACTACTACCACTACTACTACTACTACTGCTACTACTACTACTGCATAGCACTACTACTACTACTACTACTACTACTACTACTTGTCTTTTTCTTCTACTACTGTTACTACTACTACTACTACTACTCCTACTACTACTACTACTACTACCACTAGTACTACTACTACTATTACTACTACTACTACTACTACTACTACTACTACTACTACTACTACTACTACTACTAGTACTACTACTACCAGGACGTGGGCGTTACATACTAGTACTGTCCTTGCAGTTGGCAAAGCCTGCAATAGAAAGACACGGCAACTTCAGGGTGGACGGTGGAGCTACATACGTATACTGTTCACCGAGACACAGCAATTCCAGGGTGGACGTTGGCGTCACATACTCATACTGTGCTTAGAATTTGCATAGTGTACCATGCAAAGCCACATGGATTTCAAGGTGGACGTTGGCGTCACATACAAATACTGTTCTTGCAGTTGGCAAAGACTGCAATACAAAGACACGGCAATTTCAGGGTGGACGTTGGCGTTACATACTTTAGACTGTCCACCGAGACACAGCAATTCCAAGGTGGACGTTGGCGTCACATACTCATGCTGTCCTTAGAATTTGCAAAGTGTACCATGCCAAGCCACATGGATTTCAAGGTGGACGTTGGCGTCACATACTATTACTGTTCTTGCGGTTGGCAAAGACTGCAATACAAAGACACGGCAATTTCAGGGTGGACGTTGGCGTTACATACTTATACTGTCCACCGAGACACAGCAATTCCAGGCTGGACGTTGGCGTCACATACTCATACTGTCCTTAGAATTTGCAAAGTGTACCATGCAAAGCCACCTGGATTTCAAGGTGGACGTTGGCGTCACATACTAATACTGTT